TTTTGTTTACCCTTTTAATCCCAGCGGTCCACAGCTGCGGTCCACTTTGTACTTCTCACCTAGAATTATGAAAACCACGGGGACCTATTCATCTCTCTTCTTGACAAAACCTCCGGGATTTTCCCAAAGGTCTTCTTTGAGATAACAATGTGGACAGCAGATGCGGGGGTCACATGCGGTTAATTTCCCTCACTGATTTGGAAGAGACAACAAATATAATTAACTCCTGGGTGGTGGAGAACTTGGCCTAAGTTTTAAGTACTAGGTTACAGTTAGATCATGGTAAACCCCATATGTAAAGATTTTATGCCTGCTTCACTTCAAACTGTCCTATCAATGCTGCATTTCGGGGCCCTCATTCGCTCTACTTGGATAGGGCTGAGACTACGGTCTCAAAATAGAGCTCAGATGACACCACTGGTTACGTAAGCGGAGATCTTGGGCAAGGGAAATTTAATCTCATTCCTTGCATCCAGATACTGTATGTAACTGAAGTCACTTCTGTTGCTCCTACTCTTTGCTGCCCTGCGCAAGTGGAGAAGTTCCTTTGCCATCTTTGTTCCCCTTTCAACTCTCACCTTAAGGGTCTATTCACCAGTGTTTCTCAACCTCCTCAACTTTAAGACGGGTGGACTTCAACTCCCAGAATTCCTCAGCCAGCATACTGAGAAACACTGCACTAGTGGGTAGTTGCTAGCTTTGCACTATCTAAGGCTTCACTGAAACCAAGATATATTGTATCTCAGGCACCACATTAGCAAAACTGAATCCATCCACCCAGTCCAGGCATCTAGAGAGGGCCTATTGAGAATTTCTCATCCTGTTGTAAGAAGTACATGCAGGCCTTCTCCAGGATAGCTTCCCCTCTTTGGAGGATTCTGCCCCAGAGGATTGCAGATCCCTATCCAACGATGATGATGATGACGACGACAATGTGCCTTCAAGTCATTTTCAACACCTAGCAGCCACATAGATTTTCTCCATGATTTCTATCCATGTGGTTTTCTTGATAAAAATACAGGGGAGGTTTACCATTGCCTTCTCCCACACAGTATGAATTGATGCTTTTGCCCTTGTCACTAAAGTGATCATTGGTCTCCAGCATCTTCCTATATCGCTGCTACCTAATATAGGTGCCTATTTGCTTTACCTGAGCAGCTGGGATGACCTTCACACCTTGGGTGTCCCTGCTGGGAATATATACTCTAAGCCAGTGTTTCTCAACCTTGGCCACTTGAAGATGTATGGACTCCAACTCCCAGAATTCCCCAGCCAGCATGGGAGTTGAAGTCCACACATCTTCAAGTGGCCAAGGTTGAGACACACTGCTCTAGACATACACTCCTGACATTCTTTGTTCATCCCTCCCAGGAACACCCCCTACCCCCACCACCATGATGAGGCAGCACAGCAGGACTTGAGGCAGCATATGAACCCTTCTCTAAACAGCTATGTGCCGAGAGTCTCTGGATTGCGATGGGGTAAAAATGTGGACAATAAATAAATATCTGCAGCAGTCCCACAATCTACTAACAAAGCTACTTGATCAAATAATGAGATGACACTAGGAAATATACGCTCCCCACCAGTTCTTTTAGCCACTTCTCCAGAATTTCTTAAAGTCAATAAATCCCTTTTTGGCTAGACCATGAGCAAGCTTCTTCAAGAGCCTAAGATATCTGGCCCAACTTTTCCTCCTATAGAATATATTGATATCGCCTTAGGTTTTTATATATCTGTCGGCCTCACCCGGTTAACCAGATAGGAATCATGACCAGATGAGCTAATTCCACTTTATTGTAAGGCTACATTGACAGAATCTTGCAAGTCTGAAAGTACAGTTCTCCCGCCATCTCCTTTACAGCCCAAGAAACGAGGGAGGGTCTCTTCTGAGCCTCTTGCCCCACCCACTATCCAGCTGCAGGCTATGCCGTCTCTGACTGTTCCCTTGGCAGTGTCCCTTCACCCAGTCTCCCAAAGCCTTTCCCACATGTATTGATCCTGCCCTGTCATTCTTTCCAATTGACTGGTAAAACATTTACTCTCTTATTATTGGAATATGTTGACCATGAGCCACATATCAACATATCCATGCTAGAATATTGTCATTAGCATATGTCAGTTGTTATACAAGGCCATGATATGGTGATATATAACTTTTATGCCATTTACATGTGTGAATGGACGTGTATGAAACATGGACTACAGGAGACCCATCTGAAACAGGCTATGAAGACAGAAACATTTGCTCTTTTAAAGGGATCTCAGCACGCAAAAAGAGATTTAAACCTCTTTCATTCTTACATACAGGAGTCCTCGCTTACTGACTACTCATTCAGCGACTGTTTGAAGTTACAACTACACTAAAAAAGGAGATTTACAACCAGTCCTCAAAGTTGCGACCATCACAGCATCCCCAGTCATGTGATCACAATTCAGGCACTTGGCAACTGGCATCTATTTACGATGGTCACAGCGTTCCATGACCACGTGATCACCATTTGTAATCTTCACAGCTAGCTTCCAACAAGCAAAGTCAATGGGGAAGCCAGGAGGAGACTGCAAATGAGGATCATGTGAGGTCACACCTAACAACCACATGGGATTCACTTCACAACTACAGCCAGTAAGTCAGTGCAGTCATGTGACATCATGCTTAATGACTGCACTGCTTAGCAACAGAGTTGTCGGTCTCTATTGCAGTCGGTAAGTGAGGACTACTTGTACTGAAATGGATGGGGATTGACAAATCAGGAAATGATGGTGCCCGGTTGTGGGGAAGACTTTCTACAAATTTATTCTGTTCATAGAACTGTGGCACCTGTCAGTTCAAGGACTAGAGATCCTCATTATCATTAACATTATTCCTCGATTTTTAAAAATATAAACTTCAGCAGGTATGAGGTTCTCTCTCTAACCACCACTGGAAAATACAGGTTCTTTCAGAAACATCAAACTGAATAAACATTCAGTTGTAGGCTTCACTAAACTGAAGCAGTGCGACACTTACACATTTCACCATCAATGGATACAGAGGTAGAACTCCTGGTTGTGTGAATTTGAAAGGAAACTCAAGGCATGAGACAAAAACAGGGGGGGGAAACTTTAATACAAATATACATTTTAAAAATCCAGACACTGGTTCATATACCCCATATAATGCAGTCTTTTTCATAATTAACCATCGTGCAGGCTAAATTGAGTGAAGCAACTTACTTTGTAGAGCAGCGTTTCTCAACCTTGGCAATTTTAAGATATGTGGACCTCAACTCCCACTGGCTGGGGAATTCTGGGAGTTGAAGTCCACACATGTTCAAGTGGCCAAGTTTGAGAAACACTGTTGTAGAGCAAAAATAATGATGTGCATCCCATTCCTTTGCAAAAAAAAAAAATTCCTTTGGATTGGCTAGGTTGAAACCATGGCCCATAAATCAGTAGCCTTTGCTCTCCATAGATATCTCACAGGAGACTTTTATTTGCTTCTCCTGACCTAATAAGCCAATTAGCTCCATGAGATAACAAATCTGAGTTCAAATCATTAACTGTAAGTATTAACAGGCATCTCTAAGATTGCAGGACAATCTTATGCTATAGATGCCTAATCAGAAGTAGCCCTGAAATCAGAAGAGCTTATTCTCAGAAATATATGACTAGAATTACAACTTGGATTATTATTCTTTTTACATCTGGAGTTTTGAACGGGGATGGATTAGACTAGGATTTCTCAATCTCAGCAACTTTAAGATGTGTGGACTTCAACAACCAGAAACCCCCATGCTGAGTTGGTGCACACATCTTAAAGTTGCTGAGGTTGAGAAACATTGGATTAAACAAGGGAGGCAGACATATTACTGGAAGCGTGAAACCTTTCTGTTCATTCTGTCACATTTTATGGGAAGAGCCACAATCAGAGGCATGGGGGGGGAGGGGGCAGTATATGTCAAAAAAAGTCAAGATGGCAGTCCCAATCACACAATCGAAGCCCTGTTCCTTTTTTTAATATGCGACATATGCATGACACATCTTAAAAAGGGGGGGGCAGGGGTTCAATCACAGATGCCCCTGGGTTACACAAAGTTGTAATTCCTTTGTGATACTTCCATGATTCCAATGATTCTGCCTTGTCTTCTTACTGTACAAAATCGTATTTTTAGAACAAGAAGATAAAAGAGTATCTGTAATGGTCTGTGGGAATGACCTTGGGAGACAGGAAGAAGAGCCACAGACTAGACAACAGTCAGATAAGAGGCAGCTTAGCCTGCAACAAGAATGGGAGTGTGGCAAACATCTCAGAAAGGACCCTCCCTAGTTTCTTGGACTGTAAAGGCGGGGCAGGGGAAGATGTACTTTCAGATTTGCAAGTTGCTGTTAATGTAACCTCACAATACAGATAGAGCTAGTACTTCGGAGTATGCTTTTTTCTCTGGACTACCTCACAATGCTGACAGTATCTCAGTCTCCACAGATGTTGATAGACCTTGTGCTCCTCTGCTGTCTTTTTAATAGGACATGGTTTTGGGGTGGGCAGTGAACAGAGCAGGTAAAAATGAACAGGTTAACACACATTAATTGTAACCTTTCAGACAAAGACCATTTTAGAACTCAATATTTTTATTCATGTCATAAATAGCACTAGAATGCTTGCCCAACTAAAACTGTACAGGAAGTCCTCACATAGCAACCATTCATTTAGTGACCATTCGAAGTTACAACGGTGCTGAACAAAGGGACTTACAACTGGTCCTCACATTTACAACTGTCGCAGCACCCTCATGGTCACATGATCGCAATCCAGGCGCTTGGCAACCAGCTTGCACTTACAATGGTTGCAGCATCCCAGGGTCACGTGATCACTATTTGCAACTCCCCAGCCAGCTTCTGGCAAGCAAAATCAATGGGGCATCATATGATTCACTTAACAATCCCGTGATTCACTTAACAGCTGTGATGATTCATTTAATGACCACTACAAAAAAGGTCGTAAAATTGGGTGTGACTTGCTTAACAACCACACCACTTAACAACAAATTTTCCAGTCCCTACTGTGGTCATTATGCAAGGACTACCTGTCTTTGGCAAGAGAGAGTGAGACCCCGCACTTCACTCCATCTGGCCTGTTGCACTTCCCATCTTTTATCTTCTACTGGTATTATTGTAATTTGTTTGATTGTTGTGAGTCACCCAGAGCCATTGGTAGTCAGACAGCATACATTTAATAAATTATTATTATTATTATCTTAAATCCTAGCAATGACTTGCTTGAAATCTAAGAATGAATGGACCCCAGAGCAAATCTAAAATAAACTGTCATGGATGCCATCAACTCCAGTTAGAGATGGTAGATAATTCATTGTCTTAAGTGGAAGCTGGCATGAAATGAACTTTGTGATGATGATAAACCAGGAATGGCCCAACATATCCACGAGTTTTTCACTTCCTTTCTCTCCTGACAGCCTTACAAGACTGGAAAGCATCGGCTACATCAAGATCATATTGTGCAAACTGGAGCAAAAGCTATGATATCCCTTGATAAATGTTCCTGCTTAATCGTAAGAGACTTGCAGTCCAGAACAAGATACACCCAGCTGACAGAAGATAAGGGGGAGAGAAAAGAATGGAAAGCTGACCAAGCATTTTGTTCACCTGCTCTTCTAGGGAATCATCATCATTTAATTCCTTATTATAATATACACTATAACATAATGTATATTGGCACACAATAAAACAGTAAACCGTAATTAATAAACAAAATTTAACAGTATATAAAATCAGGTCAATAGCCATTAAAAATTGTTACAAGAAAACCATGTTCATTTAATGACACCATGGAGGAAACGTCTACGACGTTCAGCTGCAGCTTGGGCAAAATCTGCCCGTCTCGGTCTACTGTGTTTTCAGTAACCATTCAGGTTCACAGGAACCTGTCCAGAATATCTTCCGTTTCAGAAGTTCTAAATATTGACTACATGCAGGAGAATAAGTTGGCAGTTGAGCAGATGGTGAGAGATGCCTTCTAAATTGCCATCCTAACAGAGGCCAACTCACTGGAATGTTTTGTATTATGGGGAATAGACCACCTCTAAAACCTGAGCCAATATGAGAGAGGGTTTTAACGGAGGTTGATTCAGTATCACTATACTGAAGTTGATACAGTACAGCTTTCTTTCTTATGGACCTGCTTTGTCTTGATTTTAGGGTCAGACAATTATTAATTAACCTAAGTAAAAACAAAAGATGCAATTTGGCAACTCGTATCTAAGTGTTTATATCATGTATATTCTTCTATTCTGTATGGCCTTTTGTGCATTTGCAAAATACTGTAATCATGTAGTGACTGATCCTAAGTATTTCATTTTTCTGCAGTCTAGCACTTGCAGGTCATTGCACCATTTTTCCTTTTATTTGTACCTAATGTAATCAGAAATGTTAATTTAATGTACCTAATTTAATCACAAATATTTGTGTTCGAATGCTACACATTCTATTACACAACTGAATATGTTTCTGGTCCGTGACCGTAATAAAGATGTTCTGGTTTTATTGTTAGTACTTGTTTAAAAGAATAAATACCTCGGTTGGGTTTTCTATCCTGAAATGGCATTTGATATCCTTAATAAAATAAGGACACACCGTCGGACGTTTGGGGAGACAGCTTAAGGAGTGCTCAAACAAATGTCTAGGGGCAGAAGTGATTCAGATTTGTTAATAGGGAGGCTGTCCACTTGTTAGTGCTTGGAAGTAGCCAACAGGTGGCACAGTGTGCTTAAAACAAACCATAAATTATATTAATGCTTTGTTGTGTCATCTGAATGCACTTGATGTGTTCTTTCTGAACATTGAAGAAACCAGCTGCAAAGAGGGGAAACCAAGTTCCGTTCCAACAACTGGAATTCTTGCAGGGGTCACTGGGAGGTCTTATTGGCAGACCCTCAGCTGGGCGTAGGCCCCCAGCCAAAAGAAGGGAAGAAGGATCTCTCCAGGAAATGAAGTTGTTGAATAGAGCAGAGTTCCTCTCTCTGCATCAAAAAATGAAACCCACCCTGCAGTACAGTTGAGACTCACCCGGATCCTTTTTAATTTCTTGTCCGGGAAGTGAGGAAGAGGATTAGGTGGGATGGAGAACTGGTACGTACCTCCCCACCTTCCCAGCATACTGATCCCTTCTTCTGGAATGAAGGAGAACGTACCCTTCCTCTTCACGCTCTTTCGGGAAATCCCCACTGCCCATTCTTCCTTAGTCCCTACAGTGACTTCCCAGAAATGCCGTCCCTCCTTGAATTCTTCACGTCCCAGTACAATAGCCAGTGAGTCAAATCTTTCAGGATTGTTGGGCAGTTCTTGATGATGATCACCTAGTTGCGCTATTTTATAGTCATGGGACAGGACGAGTTGGGGATGAGCCGTATCTGAATCCAGAGTTACGTTTGCTGTTAATGGAGAGAGAAAGGAGAGAAGATCAAGAAAGGGAAGCAAAATAGCTTTAATCTGGAAACAGAAATACACCCCACCCTGTAAACAAAATAAGAAGAGTCAAATTCCCCCTCGGTTAAAAGGGACTTCTTGAACGAGGACTCTCCCTCATCCAGATCTTTCCCTCATATTATTTATTTATTTAGAGCATTGTTAGGGCTGCCCAACTCAAGCAACGTAACTCTGGGTGGGGTACAGAAATCCTCAGCAAGAAACACAAATCACAAAGGAAAATAACACCTAGCATTAAAATCCAACTAAAACTGTAACACGGACACCAGAAGTAACATGTACTATACTGTAATTCATCCAGTTGGGACTCTACTCATCCTGACCCAAAGACCTGAGGAAACAGCCAGGTCTTGACTGCCTTTCTAAAGGCCTGCAGGATCAGGGGCAACCATACATCGAGGAGAAGATCATTCCAGGAAGTAGGTATGGACTGCCACCAAGAAGTGCACCTCCTAGGTCCCATAAGCTGGCATTGTTTAAATGAGAGGATCTGGCACGTGCCCTCCATGTTGGAGCATGTGGGATGGGCAGATACCCTTGGGAGCAGGTGGTCCTCAAATAGTTTTTCTCAAGGACAACACACAAGCCTTTCTTTATCATTATTACTCAGGTTTTCATTTCTATTGATTTTATTCTTCTGCCTCTTGTGTCCTTGAAGACACCTTAACAGAAGCAAGAACTGAGTTGGCTCGCTGCCAGTCTGACCGGTATAGCAATGCCATCTTGCAGGATGCCAGAGACAAGTCTTCTCTGTCCCAAAGGAACACCATCCCCTGGAAATCCCAATGACCCCAACCCTGCTGTGTTTTCACAAGACCTTTAAAGACCTGGTTCTTCCACCAGGCCCTGAGACAGAGCAAGTTGTGACCCATTTCCTGACACTTGCCCATTACTAGATTTTCACTTGTTCTTTCCCAACGCTTTTAACTATCATTAATAAAACATTAAAATGTTTTGTTTGTGTTCTTTAAAAACTGCCTAGAGTTGCCTTTGTGACTGAGATGGCATACAAGTTCATATAATGATGATGATGATCATCATCATCATGTTTGCATATATATATAATCCTCCTGTCTTTTCTGTTCCAAAACATAATTTAGCAGAAATGAGAACATTCATAAAGCACAGATTGTGCTTTAAGTATGCGAAATGCAGGGGCAGAAAATAATCTTTACACTCTCTGTGGAAAATGACAACTTCTCACTTTCACTGAGATGGAGCGTGCTGCAGTTCAGGTAACCAGAATATTCTTTGTTATATTTTCATTGTCATATATTATTATTATTGTTATTGTTAGTCTCACAGCCAGCCAGATGTTTAGACTGGATTTGGCATTTTTATCCACCTATTGAGTCCTTCCC